AAAGCCTATTACAATTACGTTTTACTTTTAAAACTCAGGAAAGCAATCTTCCTATTACCTATGTAGAATTACTGACCATTTGTACTGTAATTTATTCTGTAGTAAGCACTCAACTGTTTTTCTTAGTCTCTTTCAGTGAAATGTATCAAGTCCTGCTATTAAAGCAGCCTACTATTTTTATTATTGTAAATATGTTGTTGAATGTCTCAGTGCCATAATAATATAGTCTTTTAAAATAATACATGGTTATGAATACTATAATTATGATTGTGAGCATTAAAAATGGAAGTTTATTTCCACCATACAGAGTTAAAACAGGCAGGTTGCTGGTTTTAAAACAAGATAGAATTTAAGGACATTTCTAAACCCAATGTCAGAGGCAAATGACTTATTCAAACTTTATTTTACAACAGATTTGGTTAAAGCTATGTTTATTACACGAATGAATATGACTGTTTTACTTGAAAATGGTAGGTATTAATGCTATAAAACTGAGGTTTTGAAAATCCATTTGCAAACTGAAAAAACCGTCTAGCATTATTTTCCTGAAGCTTTTCAATAAATGACCATGACATAATTTACGAGTAGGTTGCCAATAAATGACCATAACAATATCTACCAGTTGGTTATCCATGAATTACCTTGACATTATCTACCAGTAGGTTGTCAATAAATGGGCATGACATTATCTACCAGTAGGTTGTCAATAAATGGGCATGACATAATCTACCAGGAGGTTGTCAATAAATGGCCATGACATTATCTACCAGTAGTTTCTCAATAAATGGCCATGACATTATCTACCAGTAGGTTGTCAATAAATGGCCATGACATTATCTACCAGTAGGTTGTCAATACATGGCCATGACATTATCTACCAGTAGTTTCTCAATAAATGGCCATGACATTATCTACCAGTAGGTTGTCAATAAATGGCCATGACATTACCTACCAGTAGGTTGTCAATAAATGGCCATGACATTATCTACCAGTACGTTGTCAATAAATGGCCATGACATTATCTACCAGTAGGTTGTCAATAAATGGCCATGACATTATCTACCAGTAGGTTGTCAATAAATGGCCATGACATTATCTACCAGTAGGTTCTCAATAAATGGTCATGACATTATCTACCAGTAGGTTGTCAATAAATGGCCATGACATTATCTACCAGTAGGTTGTCAATAAATGTCCATGACATTATCTACCAGTAGGTTGTCAATAAATGGCCATGACATTATCTACCAGTAGTTTCTCAATAAATGGCCATGACATTATCTACCAGTAGGTTGTCAATAAATGGCCATGACATTATCTACCAGTAGGTTGTCAATAAATGGCCATGACATTATCTACCAGTAGGTTGTCAATAAATGGCCATGACATTATCTACCAGTAGGTTGTCAATAAATGGCCATGACATTATCTACCAGTAGGTTGTCAATAAATGGCCATGACATTATCTACCAGTAGGTTGTCAATAAATGGCCATGACATTATCTACCAGTAGTTTCTCAATAAATGGCCATGACATTATCTACCAGTAGGTTGTCAATAAATGGCCATGACATTACCTACCAGTAGGTTGTCAATAAATGGCCATGGCATTATCTACCAGTAGGTTGTCAATAAATGGCACACCTCTGACTTGGCTAATGTTTTCTCTTATTGAAAGAAACTTTGTTTTTATTTCTTCTGTTTTATTTGAATGCACCACCGGATTCTTAATATTAATTTTATAGGTGATAATTTTTTTCATTTTTTCCTTTTAAACTTTTAAAACTATATTGTTATTCACAATTTTTTAATATTTTTTTTTTTTTAGTGTTATCCTTTTATTTAATATATTGTCTAAATTACTTGAAACTGTTTAACAAGTTTTACGGGAATTTTCACTTGAAATTTTAATGTGTTGTAATATTGGCAACTGGTATGTGCTAGAAATTGCTAAATTTAGTAGCAATTGAAATAAATGTGAATATTGTGATAGTCTGTTTTTGTTTTTATAATCGACATGTTTCTTTATTTTAAAATAAATCGCCGTAAATTTAACTTAAATGTATATCTATATTTAGAACAAATGTAAATTAAGGAGCATTCAATCGTGCAATTAAAATGATATATAAAATTATTTTAGGTGGCTGAAAAATTATCAGCCTTGATAAATAGTGTGTATTCAATGTTATTTTATGAATGATCGGTAGATATTTGAAAGAAATGACGTGCTTTGTTATGTTGGCAGCGATACTCTTTTGTATAAATATAGTTTTCCTTTTTTCATTATCATTATCATGCAAAGTCACCTCAAAGTAGATTTTCATAACAGAATTAAATCTAGAAACCCAATTTTATACACAATTCAACTGAAATGAACCATGTCAATTTAAAAAAATTGGCTTAAAAAAAAAATGCATTGATATTTTGCGCATTTGTGTCGGTCTGCAATAATCAAATTTCTCAATTGTCCGAGTGCGGAATTTTTGGTGTGCGCATTTTTCGACGTGCGATGTTTCCTGTGTGCGCTAATGTCGGTGTGCGAACTTTTCCTGTGCGCAGCTATGGCTTTGCGGATCTTTCCATGAGCGTTAATCGTGTGCGCGTTTGTCTTGTGCGCGTATGTCTGGTCACCCCTGTCTCTCCAAATATCTCTGTTAAATATTGAAACGATTATATCTGTAGGTTCTGATTCTGATAGACTACGTTGCTGCATCCATGTTCTGGCATATGTGCAACGGTTTGGGAAACGGTGCGGCTATCACAATCGCTCCTAGCGGGTGCCAGGGCAGCCTGGAAACCCTCGATTGATGTTGATTCTACGGCGGCATTGTCCAGTTGGTTAGCAATGAACGTCATGATCATTCATAATTTGTACATTTTACGATACTATTAATCCAGTCTCTGGGAGGTCTTAAGGGTCTTATTACGCGTTTGAGCGGGCCACATTAGCACCGCGGGCCGTTGGTTGTCCATCCAAGCTTTAGTTCTCCACTTGTGACTATACATAAATTGTTTTAACACAAGACGAGAGCATCTTTCTCTCTCTCCCCCTCCCCCCTTCCCCCCCCCCATGCCCGCATATCATGTCTTTCAAACTGTTATTGTGGATGTTACTTATAAACGGCGTACACATTCCCAAGTTGCGCACTCTAATCAAAGGGAGACAAAATGTTGCGCACTCTAATCAAAGGGAGACAAAATGGGGTTAGTGGAGAGCACCGGCGTGTTTAGGGGATGCGGTGGAGTTGCGGACCCCTCACGGGGTAACACCCTCACAGGGTAACACCCTCACAGGGTAACACCCTCACAGGGTAACACCCTCACAGGGTAACACCCTCAGAGGGTAACACCCTCACAGGGTAACACCCTCACGGGGTAACACCCTCACAGGGTAACACCCTCACACGGTAACACCCTCACACGGTAACACCCTCACAGGGTAACACCCTCACAGGGTAACACCCTCACAGGGTAACACCCTCACGGGGTAACACCCTCACACGGTAACACCCTCACAGGGTAACACCCTCACAGGGTACTTAGCTATCTGCTACTGGCAGCCCGACTCAGTCGGAGTTTTATCTGTGCTAGCCACAACTGGATGCCACATGAAGCACTTAGATCAGTGGTTCTCAACCTTTCTAATGCCGCGACCCTTTACTACAGTTCCTCGTGTCGTGGCGACCCCTAGCCCCACAATTATTGTCAGTTGATACTTTATAACTGCAGAGCATATGTGTTTTCAGATGGTCTTAGGCGACCCCTGTGAATGGATCGGGTGACCCCCAAAGGGGTCGCGAACCACAGGTTGAGAACGCTGACTTAGATGATAATGTAATTTTTCAAACAAGTCTTACAACGAGAATTATAAAGGTCGGGCTACAAAAGTTTTTATATTCGTTTTAACTTTATCTTTTTTTAAATCTGTTAAAATACCCGGTAAAAATCTGTTAAAATACCCGGCAAAAATCTGTTAAAATACCCGGTAAACATGGTAAATTGATCTTATGCAAAAAAATAAATAATAATAATAATATTAATAGTAATAATAATATTAATAATTTTGAAGTAACAAAACTAAAACTTTATGTACTCTAATTTATGTCATTCAACTTCTTTCACTTTAAATGCGCTGTGAGTATAAATTTTATCTCTTGCAGATATACATCCTCTGTAGTGGTGGGGTAGGTTGGGGGGGGGGGGAGGGGGGGTTCGAATTATTATTTTGTAACTGATGCGTTCAAACGTTAACAGTGCGACTGGCGTGTAGCAAATGAGTTTACAGACCAACCATGTAGCCATTTAGCTTTGTCGTATGTTTAGCTGTGAGTATAAATTTTATCTCTTGCAGATATACATCCTCTGTAGTGGTGGGGTAGGTTGGGGGGGGGGGGGGGGGAGTTCGAATTATTATTTTGTAACTGATGCGTTCAAACGTTAACAGTGCGACTGGCGTGTAGCAAATGAGTTTACAGACCAACCATGTAGACATTTAGCTTTGTCGTATGTTTTCATGGCAATTTTGTCTCTGGCCTGAAGGTCGACACTCGAGATCTGGGCTGTTTTAACATGTCAAATATGGTTATGCCAGCTATTTGAAGCGCGTCTTACCTCAACGACGACCGATAGGCCAATTGGAATGCCTTTCACACAATCAGTTGAAACAGCAAACATTCAAATGTTAAAAGATCAAACAACAATTTAAAACATTATATTTCACAAAACATTACTTTGAAGTCAATTTAAACACCATGCTGATCAACACAACACAATCAATACTAAAATAAATCAATAAGCATTACAGACAATCTCTCAGGTAGAAGCAGCCTATTAAAAAAAAAAAAAACAATTTTAAAAAAAAAAAAAAAAAAAAAAAAAAACCAAAAAAAAAAAAAAAAAAAAAAAAAAAAAAAAAAAAAAAAAAAAAAAATCACAGAAAAAAAAAAAAAAAAAAAAAAAAAAAAAAAAAAATTTAAAAAAAAAAAAGAAAAAAAAAAAAACCCTAGAAAATTTAGGTTTAAATATTGAAACAAGAAGGTGTATTGTTAACGATGATCAGAATTGGGATCGTTCATTTTAGCGCAAAATGTCATTTTCTCATCATCCACTCCTCTCATAGAGGCGCGGTACTGCGACTGTCTCTTGGTCTCTTTCTTTAAATCTTCAAGTTCCATACGTTTTGTACGTTTGAAAAATCCACACTGAAAAAAAATAAAATTGCTTGAGAGACAAAAATAAGAGAAGGTGCCAGGGAATTGTTAGAGGTCAAATAAATGGAATTGGAAAAGAAAAGTTTAAAATACTATTTTAAAAAAAATCAATTAATCTGTGAAATATTATTTCCCATGGATATATTTTGGCTAAGGTTTAGTTTTATAAAATATTATACTGTCCGATCCTTTGTATTTGAAGCTATTCATTATGTGTACAAGTATGATGCATTAAAAAGAAAAAAAGCAATGGATTCATCGAAGCTCGAGAATTAAATTTATTTTAAAAGGGGGATAAATATTAGTGGACCAATCAGGAAAAGATTCATTTCTTATTGAAAAAATAAATTGATTACCCCCCATTTGATCAAATTTCAAAATTTTTAGTGACAAATTCTATGGATATTTTAGTAACAAGATCTATGGATATTTAAGTAACAAGATCTATGGATGTTTTGAAACGTAATGTTCTTGTTGATTAACATATTTCGTTTTGGGCATTTGCTCACACTTTTACTAAAATATATGTTACGAATAATTTCTAAATGCCTAAATCGTAACTGATCTATGTCTATATTAGTCTGTACTGATCTCGTTCTATAGCAATCTGTACTGATCTTTTTCCTTACTAATATGTACTGATCTATTTCTATAGTAGTATAGATAATCTACTACTTGTATATAGTAATGGGTTTAAACAAATGCTACCTTCCAAAGAATGATAACCAGTATTGTTATAAGCACAAGTCCAGCCACACCACTTCCAATGATGACCCACAGGTTGATGCCAGACTGCTGCGGCAGATAGTGGAACAACGTGGGTGTCTAAAGGGTCACACAGAACATAACATTTCATTAGCTAGACATCTAGTTGATACAAGTCATAGGATTCGGATTGTGATAAGTTGAGGCATGTTGTATCAAACTAAAGCACTAAAGAAATAATAATATTAAGAAGTAAACAATGAAGATTTGTGTGCTCAGCCTTAATACACGAGTCAAGTTTTTCTCAATCCGGGCCATATGGTCCCTAGGGGCCATAGCAGATTTACGTGGAAAAAAAACGGGGGGGGGGGGGGGGGGGACAAAAATTTTTTCCTCGTAAATTTTTTTTAATTTCTCTTGGAGGTTTAAAAAAAATCTATTCGAGTGGGCCACGAGGAAAAAAAAGGAAAAGAGGGTGGGGGTGTGGGGGGGGGCTGACAGACGCTGTCTTAGGGAAAATCACTTTCGTTTCCAATGAAACTGAGGTGAGGGGTGGGTTCATATTTGACCAAAGACCCAACATCTCACCTGCTTATAGACTGGCTGGCCCCAGGCTTTGAATAAAGGATGTTTCGGTTCACTAACAAGTACTTTGGTAAGAAACATCGTGGTGTGTATGCCCTGTTTGAATCAAAGGAATAAGACAATGAGAAGTGTAATCATTGTAAACATCGTGGTGTGTATGCCCTGTTTGAATCAAAGGAAGAAGACGGTGAACGTTAATCATTGAAAGCGACCGTAACAACCTAAGGAAACATTCCAACAGCATAATGACGTCATACGCTTTGGCAGCTGTATGTATTATTCTAATTATTAAGTATCACCATCTGATGAAACAAATCAACTTTACCATTCATTTCAACTATTATCCATTTTAAAAGTTGCACCGGCCTCCGCCTCCACCACACACATATCAATACGATGATACAACAATTAAGAGTTTGTCTTTCCATGCAATTCAACTTTTTGTATCGAAAGAATTCCATAGTAAAATTTACCGAAGGCATGGGAATGTTGACCGAATCTACCACCATTGTCACATTAATCTCTACATAACTCCTGGGCTGTGTTATAGTGGACAGGGAGCACACGAACACCTGGCACTGACTGGGGTCGTCTTCACAGCTCTGGAATTCAGCACGGACAAACATAGTAATGAAGAGCTTTCAAACAATTTTTAATTGTCATAAAAATAGCATGATCGAAAAAGTTTCATAGTTCTTATCCAATTTTATTTGATTAAATTGAAGGCTATACATAGTATAGGGTAAATACATCTGCTATACTTTGTGAAAAAAAAAAAAATTATTCAATTGTTTTGTACGGTGTGTAAAAACTAAACTCCATCATTAAGGTTTATTTGCACATTTTATGCCATACCACTGTGTAAATTTTGCCCTCCTTGACTTGTGCTTGTCTTTTTTTCCTTACTAAAGGCATTCCAATGTCGTAATCGTCGATCTCTTTGACTGTAGTTGATTCAGTAGTGATTACTAAAGTAAAATTAAAACAAACTAAACAAAAATAATGAAATAATATTTTTAAAGAAAAATCCAACCAACAAATGAGTAGAGCATTAATGTATCATTTTTTATTGTAAGACTTGATAAATGAGTTTTCTGTTACCATATTACATTGTTAAAAAGTTGCAGTTGGAGTGTATTGAAAAAAAAAAACTTTTTTTTTTTTTTTTACCGGTTGGCTCGGTGGTGGTTAGATTTTCAAGGGGTGAGAACTTCCCTTCGTTGGAGATCGTCCCATTTTCATAGCACGGGACCATCCTGCCATCTGCTGTCTTCAGCTGACATTAAATATAGGTGTCTTCTTATAATTTGTTTTAAAAGCACACAATTTTGAAATGTATAGCCTATAATCTATATAGATACCAGTATAGGTCAAAGTAAATGGATGGCACACTGACGTCCTTTACGTGTTTTTGCTTTAGTGTCAATACCCAGGTTAGGGTCAATACCCAGGTTAGGTTTAGGGATATATTTAGGTCATTTATAAATTAATTTTTTTATGTTTTATTCCTAATTTTAACAAACGTGAGTTATTTTATTTTACGTCTCGGTGCCATCTCTTTGCACTTACCCAGCTACATATTTAGATTTAAATTTAGGCTCCACAATTTAATGATAAAATTATATAGACCGTGAAAATCGTTGAACACGAAAAAGAGGGGACCGAAATATTTCTTCGTGTTAAAAAAGAATTTCGTGTTAAAGGATGCCTGCATAAATAAATACATACTCACCAAAATTAAATTTTTCCGATTACATCATATTAGATACACTATTTAAATTTCAAATTGTTTTACGATTTATTCATACATGTATGTATGGATGGATTTAATAAACAAAAAAAAAAAACATTAAAACGATCAAAAATAGTGTACATACTTATTAAGCTGTAATAAAAAAAATTTTATTAAAAAAAAATAATCTGATATATTTTTGTTTGTTGTTATTATCGTCTTTTTCAGCATGACATTGTTAACAAATTGTTTGATATCGTCCATTATATTGTTCATTTCGAGTTAGCGCTATTTTACACGAGCCACGGCTTCCCCTTTATTTCTGATCCCTCTACATTATCGTCGGCTGGGGTACGTATATTGTTCATTCCGAGATGCGAACTCTTTTCGTGTTTGGACTGTTAAGCGATTTTCGTTTAGTATTAAAATAAAAAAAAAATGAATGAAAGCACCTAGTATTATGTCGGGACCACATTATTTTTTGGTGTTAACCGAATTTTCATGTTAATTGTTTTCATGTTAAACGTATTTGACTGTGTCTATGTATCTATCTCTATATGTACACACATATTTACTTATATATAATATGCTTATATATAAGTATTGGAAAAGTGTTCCTCAATTCTATATTTACTAATCGCAACATTAAGAACAAAAAAAGACATTAGATGACTGTACCCAAACAATAGTATACATTTACTATTCCATGGTGAAATAAGGGCTGGAGAATTTTTACTTCAACAAGTGATTCGACTACGATACCAATTATTTCTCTGAGGCATACTCTACATTCTGAACGGAGCATCCATTACTTTCACATATTCCTTACCGATTCATTTTTGGGGGGGATAAAACAGAAGGAAAAACAAAAATACCTTACAAACTTTGAAAAAAAGAAACGAAATATTAAAAATAAATTCTTTCCTGCAGTACAAGAAATCCGTTTGGCTTACCTGGACGTCAGTCTCTAGGACTAAAAGCGACGAATCTTCTAATTTATTGGGGATGAACACGTAGACACTACATGGTGGCAGAAAGCTCGGCCCTCTGTTCAGCATTAAAATTTTGTGGGTGACGTTCATTGGCTTCTGGCTGCTTTGTACCGAGGGGGTGGCCCCTTTTTGGTTGACTTGTCTTACTGCAGTGACCGTGTGTTCTGTTGGCGAGGAGGAGCTGGTTGAAGAGATACAACAGTAACATATGTAAATAATAAGTAACCCTAAATATATGTGGGTGCTGGTTGGCGGAGTGGTCTAAACTGAGCAAATCTCAAGCAAAATACATCCCTAGCATCCCAGGTGGAAGGGACTCGTCAGCTTTGGGTGGCAACTCATCTAAGAGACGGAAACTCTGAATTTAAACTCGGAGACGGGGTCCAGTAGGCGGATAACATTGGTACAATGAAACATTCCGACAACTCCTGCGACGCCACTGGTGCCAAGCTTTATCATCCACATGATGTTCCCTTGAATTTACCCAGCGGCGTTGAGAGAGGCGTTTTTCTATTGGGATCCAGCTCAAAATCCTAGAAGAATAATCCCAGGCCTTGTGGATTTCGTCATGCGAATTCCACACCATCGTCACATTGTGACGTACGGATGCCACCAAAAAAAAAAATAAATAGAAAAAAGCATATGTAAATAATAAACAACCTTTAGCATGTGTCAATTATAAGCAACCTGTAACATATGTAAATAATAATCAACCTTCATCAAATTTAATAAAGAATATCACTCCGTCTTTTGGATCACATCAAAATAACATAACATTGGCAAAAAATTGGGGGGGGGGGAGGGCAAATGTTCATTAAATTCTTTTTTTTCATGATACTATTTTCTCATCATTCTAAAAGGTGAGGTGAATGAATCCTATTATACAATATTTGCCCAATAAGATAATTTAAGTTAACGAAAACTGCACTTAGTCTTAATCTAAATGCATTCTAGGTCACAAAATAACTTAAACATTTTTTGGGCAAATGTTTCGTATTCTATATTTTCATACCATGTGTATCTCACCTGTCTATGACCAGGTCATATTCTATATTTCCCTACCATGTGTATCTCACCTGTCTATGACCAGGTCATATTCTATATTTTCCAAGCATTTTGGTCTCACCTGTCTATGACCAGGTCATACTCTATATTTCCCTAGCACTTGTGACTCACCTGTCTATGACCAGGTCATACTCTGTATTTCCCTAGCACGTGTGTCTCACCTGTCTATGACCAGGTCATACTATATATTTCCCTAGCATATGGGTCTCACCTGTCTATGACCATGTCATACTCTATATTTCCCTAGCATATGTGTCTCACCTGTCTATGACCAGGTTAGCAATGATTAAAACGTCCGTTTTGAGCATTTCTCTGTTATCATCCGGTGCGAGTTCGGGGTTATTTTTGAGATCCTTCGGCATGACGCTGACCCTGGTCTCAAACGTTTTCTTGATGAGCTCCAGATTGCTGGTGTCCAGGGTGACATTTAGACTGATGCGTTTGTCCTTTTCCAGCGGTTCAAACAAATGACAGGTTATCTGACGACATGCAGATCAAAGCAGTTTCATTCGACATTTAGATTAAAGATTTAAACTATCCATTGTTCTGAAGCTAAATGGCCATGTCTGAAGCTAAATTTCCATTGAGTATCACCTTAAGCATGGGAATTGGGGGTGTCTTTCTTTGATAAAGAGAATGAATAGAAGCTTTTAAAGCTACATAATTCACGAATTAATATTTATGTCTATTTCCCAAAGGTTATTAAAAGTTTATGATAATTGTTTCCCAAAATAATTTTAAATTAAAAAAAAAAATGTGAGCATTACTCAGGTATGACAAAGAGTATCCTACCGTGGTTTTATTAGAACGCCCGACAGCTGGTTCCAGCCGACAGCTCGAACTGGATCTCGCACTGAAGAAGTTAAGACCCAGGGTGTCCACCTCTATGGTTACTATTGTCCAAAATGAGGTTTCGTTTTTATTTTCGACATCAATATGAAGTATCATTTCCTACGACACAATGTTTTAATCAACAGTTTCAGAAACTTTTACTAATATCAACAAAAGAGTAGACAATGAATATTATATGCTCAATACTTTAATGTTTTATTTATGCATGGAAATGGTGTCTGGGGACGGGTAACGCATTCTGATTTTGCTTCCAAAATAAATTTGTACATTTTTAAAAATGCGAACTATTTAAAACGCCAAGCTAACTGCACACCTAAAAAGCATCTCTAAACACTTAGTAAGTGAGTTTCTACTACAACGTTTTGTTACTTTTTAAAAGTTTAAGGTATAAAAAAAAATATTTTTTATTTATTGTGTAGTTACACGATTCATTTTAGATCTAAAATAAAAAAAAAATAAAAAAAAATAGATGTTTGATTTAACTAGCACGTTCCTGTGTAAAATAAATTCAACGGCAAATTATTAATAATGTGCTTGTTTGTGGGATATTTCCAAATTGTCACAGTTTAACAAACAATGGCTAGTTGTCACAGTTTAACAAATAATGGCTGGTTGTCACATTTTAACAAACATTTGCTGGTTATCACAGTTTAACAAACAATGGCGTGTTGTCACAGCTTAACAAACAAATCAGTCCCTCTCAATCATAATTTAAAATAAAACATTTTAAAACATTCTAGGTAAAAATATTCTCGCAGTCATTAATTCATTGAACGTCATGATAATAAAAATGAATTGCTTTTGATGTTTTTTGGTGGTATTTTTCACTAATTAATCTGTATATTTTGTAAAAATTCTGCTTAAGCTCCCTTTTGGATTAATACATGTTTATTTTTGCCTTCAGGGGTGCAATCCCGAAACAATTTGAGTTTTGATCTACGCATTACTGTTTTTACCAAGCTATTTGTAATATTTCACTTAATAACATCAAAACAAGTAGGTTGTCAAAACGATCCTGTGACTGCATTTGAGAATGTGGTGCTAATCTAAAGGTTTATAATTCCATCTATTTCTTGAAATATGAGATGCAAAATAATGGTGTCCGCTACAACCAAACAACTATTCACTGGAATAGTTCCTCTTCGTTGAGGCTCTTTTAAAACTTTTCAATTCAAGAAAAGGAAATTCAAAATAAAAATAATTTGTTATCTTTAAGTAGTAATTATAAGACTAGTATAGGTAGAAAACTGTCGATAGGTTTCAGATAAGCGAACTAATCAACACAGGACGACTGGTGAAGACCTCTCTCCAAATTTAGAAAGATAAACGTGCTATTAATCGAAGGTCTGAATTTCAAAATAATAATTCCAGAATTTGTAAATTAATGTTTGAACTTTGTGCCAAGACACAGCCATCACCCCGCCCCAACCAAATTTAAAAAAAAAAATGATTTAAAAAAAACATACCCATAAGCACATGTACGCAAAATCTCCAAAATTGACAACCAGGTCATGGTAGCCACCAACTACGGCTGTAAGGTGGGTCATGTTAGCCACCAACAACGCCTGTAAGGTGGGTCATGGTAGCCACCATCAACGCTTGTAAGGTGGGTCATGGTAGCCACCATCAACGCCTGAAAGGTTGGTCATGTCAGCCACCAACTACGGCTGTAAGGTGGGTCATGTTAGCCACCATCAACGCCTGTAAGGTTGGTCATGTCAGCCACCAATAACGCCTGTAAGGTGGGTCATGGTAACCACCATCAACGCCTGTAAGGTTGGTCATGTCAGCCACCAACTACGGCTGTAAGGTGGGTCATGTTAGCCACCAACAACGCCTGTAAGGTGGGTCATGGTAGCCACCAACAACGGCTGTAAGGTGGGTCATGGTAGCCACCAACTACGGCTGCAAGGTGCGTCATTTTAACCACCAACAACGGCTATTTGGTGGGTCATGTTAGCCACCAGCAACGGCTGTAAGGTGGGTCATTATTACCATCAACAACTGCTGTAATGTGGGTCATGTTAGCCACCTACAACGGCTGTAAAGTGGGTCATAATAGCCATCAACCACGGCTGTAAGATTGGATATTATAACCATCAAAAACGCCTGTAAGCTGGGTCATGTTAGCCACCAACCACGGCTTTAATGTGGATCATGATAGCCACCAACAACGGCTCTAAGGTGGGTCATGTAAGCCATAGTAATGGTGTTAGTTTTTCTTTTCAACGTAAACCTTTACTTTAATGCTATAGAAAACCACAAACTTAAATTGTCTAGTAAATTTGACACAACTTTTTTTCTTCTTTAGCTACAAACCTTAGTATCATTGACCACTAAACTTGACCAGTTACCAGCAGCGGAGTATCTTATCGTGCTGTTGAGGTTTAGATCAGCCTCACAAATGTTATCACTTCCACATTTATTGAGAAAAGTAGCCTGTAACACAATGATTTTAAGAAATTTGGCATTAATTTAATTTCTTTGGTTAAACATTTTAAGTCATTTAAATATCATTTAGATATCTTGAAAAATAAATAGATGTAAAATAATGATCCGGTTGAGATATAATGTGCTTGTTGTCCTAATGTCCTTAAGGTGAATTGATGATATATATTCAATAAGAAGTGCTAACAGATATCATGGTCCTATTCATCTTCAGTAAGAACTAAGAACTGCTTGCTACTAAGCTACAGTAAGAACTTTTAGCAGAAATCATGGTTCTACTCATCTATAGTAAGAACTGCTAACAGATATCATTGTTCTACGCACATTAAGAGGACATTCTGTCAGAGGACATTAAGTTATAACACTTTGTGCCCTGCTATAATCTGGGATACAAGCAATTAATAAGCATCGGATAAATCACATCTATTTGTATGTATTTAAAATTCATTGGCTTATACCGGCAGAATAATTCCTGGAAAAAGACTATACTCACTGTTGTGGTAGCATTGTTAGGCTTAAACACATCTAATATGGGGTCGTTGTCTTTGTTAGAGGAATTGTGCAATTCGTACGTCGCCAGAATCTGAATGGGTCTAAATCTGTCTCTGTTGACTTGATCCTTGGAAACAATACAATGATATAGTTACTAGCTGGGATGCCAATATTTTTGTGCACATAGAACTTAGGATTTTACAATTTGATAAAGAAAAATGGTGTCCTCTTTTGCCGTCTCAAAGCTGTCCTCTCTTTCCGTCTCAAAGCTGTCCTCTCTTTCCGTCTCAAAGCTGTCCTCTCTTTCCGTCTCAAAGCTGTGCTCTCTTCCCGTCTCAAAGCTGTCCTCTCTTTCCGTCTCAAAGCTGCCCTCCCTTGCCGTATCAAAGCTGTCCTCTCTTGCCCTCTCAAAGCTGTCCTCTTTTGCCGTCCCAAAGCTGTCCTCTCTTGCCGTCTCAAAGCTGTCCTCTCTTGCCCTCTCAGTGCTGTCCCCCCCTGCCATCTTAACGTTGTCTTGTCTTACTATCTCAGAGTTGTATCATATATATTGAAAGGGCAACATATTTAAATCACTTATTATTTCTTGAATATTTTAAAAATTGTATTTCTTTCCATTAATTTTTTGCTCAAAAACGGTATCATTCAGAAATGACCTGTTATTTAGACTGCATACAGAATAAGCGATGGAGGGAAAGACATCACCAAATTTTTGATGAGATTTTAAGAGATTCAAAATGAGACAAATGGAAGAGACAGATGGACAGAAAAAGGGAATAAACATTAAATGAACCCAGGACGTCTTACAACTTTAATTTATAAAAGAATGACTTTTTTTTTACGTCACAGTACTCAGAGCATTAGAATTATGGCCATCTTAATTGTATGCATCTTTTTGTTTTTGCGACTGAGTTAACTAAGATATAACAATTATAAGATTTTTTTTTTCAATATGCCATACAAGATTATTATTTCATTTACTTTTTGTAGAACTGCCGTAAAGTCCGTACAGTTGTTCTTTTTTCTAGCCAGAAACTGACCAATTACGATGCTACTTGAAGTTTCGTTTTTCTGTACGAAAAGAGCGCGTTTTAATCCAGGTGGCAGGTGGACATCCATCTCTAAATTGACAGTGAAGTCTGAGGTGGAAAAAGTCAACAAAATGTTTATTTAAGAATGCCTGTTAAGGACCAGATAATCTAAACTTTATAGATAGAAAATCACTAGATGTGAAGATTTCATCAATAAAAGCCATTCAGTTACGGCAGTTATTTGTTTTCATTTTCTACAAAGACATTCATTTTTTGTTTAAAATGTATTTTTCTATAGATGTCATAAAATTATCCATGACTCACTGAGAGGACGATATGGTTCATCTCTTATAGAATGGTTCAGGCAAAACTGGACGGTGAAACAAGGCGCCTTCAGTTTAGAGCATTCCTTTTCTGTATCTACCCTTTCGGGGTCAGTTTTGAGTTGAAACATTACATCAACTACAGACCTGTACAAAACGAATAGGTACGAATAAAAGAAAGCTCTTACAACCAACTACCAAGGACATCTTTATTTGTATAATTTTTACATATTAAGAAAATGTGTTTAATGTTTGCCATAATAACACACACAAAAGAAATTTGATTTAACTTGTAAGTCCGTGTGTGCTGTCAGGATATGACTTTGCTGTCTTGGATCTATTCCTACAGCAACATTAGTCGATAAATGAAACAACCCCTTACACATTGTTTTGCTTTCAAATCCTTTACATGCATTTTCGTTTTCAATTATGCCATTGTACGTGATTTATCATGTGATTGTAGCAACTGATTTTTGGTATGGGAAAGGGTTCTTATCAAACTTAGTGCATGCAATACCCAAAAGACTAAAGATACATTTAAACACAAATACATCACAAATACAGAGCAAATAACAACAGCTATACAAGTATTGGACACAAAGTCACGCACCCCTTGAAGAAATTATTTACACCCCCCTCCCCTTTATAGATAAAAAGGAGAAACAGATTTTTGGGGCGGGGCTCGTGGGATGGGGCTGAAAATTTGAACGAATATGTTGCCGTCAACAACATTTCAGTGTGCCGAATTTCAGCTCGATGGAACGACCAAAAGTAGGTCAATTAACCTTCAGAAGAGTTTGCCACAAAGAAAGAAAGAAACACGCATAAAGGCGAATTTACTAATAAAAGATTCAAAAAGTGGAACTCTTCTAAACGAGTGATCTAAATTGAAGGGAAGCTACATCTGTAGGAGGATCTTATGGAGGCCCTGTACCAAAGTCCCACCCTGGGGCACCATGCGTGATTTAGTTCGTCCATACCCCCATTTACTTTATTTTATTTCTTGTGTGGTTTGGTATTCCTCTTCGTTTTTGACTTTTCATAAATTCAATTATTGTTAAATCCGTTGTCGCTAAATCTGTGTACTAGGTTTAATGTTGTAATTTCATCATGCGCTACGCTAATTATTGTTCAACTGTTGTTACTATTGTATCCTTCTTCTAATATAAGTACATTATTTTTATTTGGTGACTGTTGTTGTTTCGGGTACTCAATATAAGCTAGATTGTTGAATCCTTTTTTTTTAGTGTTTGTTCACTAGTTATGGAGGTCGCACAATAATACAGGTATTAAAAAAAAAATTAATTCCATCTACATTTAATCAAAAACTGATTTGAAAGTTGTGACAAGGCTTTATACAAAAGTCGCATTAAATATATGATCGAAAATTGATCTCGTAATTCGAGCAATATTATCAGCTTTAAGATATTTATGTGACATATTTTGTCGTTTAAATTAGTGTAAATTCTCTCTAAATTAGTTTTTAAAAATTCATTACACTCATTACATTTGGGACACATGTGGCAGAGGTGAATGTAGCACACTAACCTGCTCTTGACAATGAGAATGGCATCATCTGCTACAGATGTCACGACGAATATCGGGTACCCTTTCTTGGCGAGCTGAACACCTTCAGAGATAGCGAAACCCATTCCCCTGACTTGAAACCCTGTAGATGTTAGCACCTGAAAAAAAAGTGTAGCTGAGTAAATAAAGAGGAATCAGAATTTAAAAAGATATTGCTGTTAGGATGACTAGACATGAGAGTTACAAGATATTGGTGTTAGGATGACTAGATATGAGAGTTACAAGATATTGGTGTTAGGATGACTAGATATGAGAGTTACAAGATATTGGTGTTAGGATGACTAGATATGAGAGTTACAAGATATTGGTGTTAGGATGACTAGATATGAGAGTTACGAGATATTGGTGTTAGGATGACTAGATATGAGAGTTACGAGATATTGCTATTAAAAAGACTAGATATGAGAGTTACAAGATATTGGTGTTAGGATGACTAGATATGAGAGTTACGAGATATTGGTGTTAGGATGACTAGATATGAGAGTTACGAGATATTGCTAATAAAAAGACTAGATATGAGAGTTACAAGATATTGGTGTTAGGATGACTAGACATGAGAGTTACAAGATATTGGTGTTAGGATGACTAGACATGAGAGTTACAAGATATTGGTGTTAGGATGACTAGATATGAGAGTTACAAGATATTGGTGTTAGGATGACTAGATATGAGAGTTACAAGATATTGGTGTTAGGATGACTAGACATGATAGTTACAAGATATTGGTGTTAGAATGACTAGATATGAGAGTTACAAGATATTGGTGTTAGGATGACTAGACATGAGAGCTACAAGATATTGGTGTTAGAATGACTAGACATGAGAGTTACAAGATATTGGTGTTAGGATGACTAGACATGAGAGTTAAAAGATATTGGTGTTAGGATGACTAGACATGAGAGTTACAAGATATTGCTGTTAGGATGACTAGATATGAGAGTTACAAGATATTGGTGTTAGGATGACTAGACATGAGAGTTACGAGATATTGGTGTAAGGATGACTAGACATGAGAGTTACGAGATATTGCTGTTAGGATGACTAGATATGAGAGTTACAAGATATTGCTATTAAAAAGACTAGATATGAGAGTTACAAGATATTGGTGTTAGGATGACTAGATATGAGAGTTACAAATATTGCTGATAGGATTACTAGACATGAGAGTTACAAGATATTGCTGATAGGATGACTAGATATGAGAGTTACAAGATATTGCTGTTAGGATAACTAGATATGAGAGTTACAAAATATTGCTATTAAAAAGACTAGATATGAGAGTTACAAGATATGGCTGTTAGGATGACTAGATATGAGAGTTACAAGATATTGCTATTAAATAGACTAGATATGAGAGTTACAAGATATTGCTATTAAAAAGACTAGATATGAGAGTTACAAATATTGGTGTTAGGATGACTAGATATGAGAGTTACAAGATATTGGTGTTAGGATGACTAGATATGAGAGTTACAAATATTGCTGATAGGATTACTAGACATGAGAGTTACAAGATATTGCTGATAGGATGACTAGATATGAGAGTTACAAGATATTGCTGTTAGGATAACTAGATATGAGAGTTACAAAATATTGCTATTAAAAAGACTAGATATGAGAGTTACAAGATATGGCTGTTAGGATGACTAGATATGAGAGTTACAAGATATTGCTATTAAAAAGACTAGATATGAGAGTTACAAGATATTGCTGTTAGGATGACTAGACATGAGAGTTACAAGATATTGCTGTTAGGAGTTAAAAGATATTGTTGGAACAACAAAAGAGTTTGAAACACAAAATTATTGTGTAGAAATATAATTTCTGAAGTGATGTTTATTGGCACGCCTAGCGAACATTGTTTTATGCCTTCGACAGGTTTAAATATCAAAATATACGTTTCATGCTAAACAAAATATCATGGCAAATCTCAAATTCACAAATAGATATTATTTTTAAATATAATAAAATGTAACATTACTATGAAGAATTCTACCTGTGACGCTGTCAGTATTTGAGAAGGACTGTTGACAAATCCATCTGGAGTCCCCATGTAAATGTAAACAGATCCAGCACCCATGTCCTCTGTCGGTGCACTGATAGCAATATCTTAGTTAAGATGTAGAAAATGGTGCATTATTATATTTTTATGTTTGTGTTATTTCTCCAATCGCCTTAAATTCAAAAAGTGACTTGGTTTTCACTTGACATAGGCACCCATGTCCTCTGTCGGTGCACTGATAGCAATATCTTAGTTAAGATGTAGAAAATGGTGCATTATTATATTTTTATGTTTGTGTTATTTCTCCAATCGCCTTAAATTCAAAAAGTGACTTGGTTATTATTATATTTTTATGTTTGTGTTATTTCTCCAATCGCCTTAAATACAAAAAGTGACTTTGTTTTCACTTGACATAGACACTATCATATATATATATATATATATATATATATATATATATATTAAATAGGATTCCTATTGGCATTTCTAGATAATTTAAAACCAAACTGAGATTTTAATGACATTTTTGTTTTTTTACACATTCTGAAATGTACGTACACATTTCTTAAATCTCATGGACCAGTCCGTTAGCGTGATTCTTTTCTGGTACATAACCTTTAGGTACTGGACAGGACATAGATCAATAATTTTTTTATTATTATTATCTCTTTTCTTTTCTTTTGTACGAGCTTTCAGAAATCAGGTTAATCTTTTTTTTTAAAACAAATTATTTACTGAAAGGTGTCTCACTGAGCCAACTCAGCCACGTCAAGTGTCGTAGACCTGACATCACGAGCACTTCGAAGCCTTATGTTTCCATCAAATGCTGCAGTTAACCACAGCATGATTAAAAGAAGAAAGACGTGTACATTTACAAAGTCTTACCTGGGATGTTGTCTCTGTTCACGTCCCCTATGGCAGCTATCGCTGTTCCAAACAAAGAATACGACTTCTTTGAGCCATCGAGTGTTACTTTCAGTTCGTAGCTCTGTGTGTACAATTGGGATCCGTCAGTACGTTTCAGAATCAGTATTCGTTAATAAGCAACAGCACAAATAATTGTTATGATACGATGTATGGTCATCAGTAAAAGACTGGTAATTAATTTGTTTCCAAAGACCGTGGAAAATACTTCTGCAGGGATGTGTTAGTCTGGAAGCGTTACCTGGGGTACTGAATAAAGCTCCCCACCCCTGGCCATTTAGTTGATTTCAGGGATTTGGAGCGAAGCTTGGAGCTCTGGAGCAGGGTTTTATTTGCCCGGAGCTGGAGCTAGTAAAATGTCTTACTGTTAGAAGCTCTAAAATATTTTAATGAATTCATTTTTGTTTAAAATTATGTAAAAGAACTAATTGTACTTAATTCTTAAAATAAAAAATAATTCATTAAAATTGATTCCCCACTTTTGTGCCTGGTACGTTGCCACATTCTTCTGCAACTATATATTCCCACTCTTCTACCAGCTTTCTTGCCCCACTTCTCTCCATCTACATCACCCCACTCTTTTACCAGTTATCTTAGCCCACTCTTCACTAAACTATAATACCCCACTCATCTTCCCATTATGATGTCTTAATCTTCGACCATTTTTTTCCACGCTCTTTAAAAGTATTTTGCCCCACGTTTCTATCATGTTTCCCCCACTCCTTTACACATCCCAGCCCCTATCCATTCCACTTTTTAATTTTCCCGTAGCTGGTAGTGGAGCTAACAAAAATGTGCCTGGAGCGGAGCGTGGAAAAAAAAAAAAGCCCGTTCTAAAGCACTGTTGATACTGTACACCGAAGAACGAACTGAATGATAATAGCTTGGACCCGCAAAGAAAAACTTTATTGATGGCTTGTTAACAGACAGTCGTTTCGTACTTCCTCACCACTTTAGACAAAGAAACATTTTTTTTTGGATGCACCCAAGATCAGGCTACGGTCTTTTCCCAACGCAGGCGCTTGTTTCATTCCAGCATTAAATTATTTAATTGTTAAATTTACATTGCTCTTTTATGTTCCTATAAATTTAATATATTGCATTGGAAAAAAGTTAAGTATTTTGGTATGGGGATGACAATAATAGTTAGCCCCCCCTCCCTTCCCCCGCACCCCGTGGATAGATATGAGACATGTGATAGGAGAGGGAGCAGAGCAAGAGAAAGAAAAACGTGATTTTAAAAAAAATATATTTTCTTTTTTTTTTTTAATAAGAAAAGATAAGGTAAGATTATTTAATCGATCAGAATTGTCTTGTTACATTTTACACATTCACGTTCAGGACTTACAAAATACATATCTTAACCAGAGACATTTTACACTTAGAACAATTGAAACACTGGCCATCTTGAGCATTATCGTGCGAAAAAATCAGCCATAAAAAACCTACAAAACTTAAAATCTTTAGGGACAATAATGACTTGATGAGATGAATGATTTAAACTTGATAACCACTCGGGAGCAGGCTGGTCAATTCTGGTACCGCAGTTTCAAAAAAAAAAAAAAAGAAAGAAAAGAATACATCTTGATTTTAACACATGTTTTTTTTTTTTTTTTATTATTTTTTTTTTTTTTTTTTTTTTTTTTTTTTTTTTTTTTTTTTTGTTTTTTTTTTTTTTTTTTATTCAAAAAAAAAAAAAAGAAAGAAAAGAATACATCTTGATTTCAACACAAGTATTGCCGTAATTTTAATCATTTTATTATTATTTTTTTTTTTGCACGTTAGATTCTTAATTTAGAACACTAACACCCGCTTTCAGACTATTAAGTGGGTCGAAAGCCTTTGTTTCAAATTAATTTAGCTTTTTTTTTTTAACGTTACATGAACGATTGGATCAGCATTTCAATTTGAATTTGTTGTTTTGGCTATAATTGTTTATACAAAGGAGAACTTTTAAAATAAATCTTCAATCTTTATGGGATATCTTACAGTTACAAAACGTGTGTTAAGAAATATATGTATATATTTTAAATTACCGTTGATGGTCCACGATGAATTCTATTTTTATAGATTTGTATGTTGTTATCGTTTTATACAATATACAAAACTCTTATTTAAGAATTATGTGTTGTTTTTTTTCAAATATTGATAAAGCTTGGGCACTTCACTTATTGAAGTGCCCAGCATTTTCAGTGTTATCAAATGTTCACCGCATCAATCAAGCAGTTCTGGTTTAAAAATGGTAAAATTTTTATTTTAAGATCAAGTTTTGCTAAAAAAAAAAAAAAAAAATCTTACGGGATTTTCCTCCGTTCGTGAGAAAATGTAAACGCGTCCTTGATCAAAGCCATTGACCTTGTCGTTTTCGTCTGAAAAAAAAGGCGCACCAACCAGCAGCTCATCGTATCCATCATTGTCCACGTCAACAGCAGACAGGCTGTACCCAAAGTTTGACCACGCCTTCAAATAAAAGCATGACATAAGATATTAAAAAAAAAAAAAATTAAAAATAAACTATGCGAAAATTTATTTAAATTTAAAAATTTTTTAAAAAAATGTAAAAAAAAGTCCAGATTTCAAAACAACAGATTTTTGGATATAAGGAGGGAAAAAACGCAAAATGTTTTTGATGAGTTATTCTATTCGACCCACATCCTAATGGTAATTATGGAACAAAGGTACAATAAAGTTTAAAGTAAAAATTCCCGATTTCTAAGAAGTAGTTATCATACCGATCCCATGAAAACGTCCATTGGATCTCTCACGGTTTTCTATTTGTCAATAATGATAAAAATAATAATTATTTAACGTTGGTTTTTTTTCTCTCCACAGAGCCGAATTTCTGGGCTCATGCGTATAGTTAAACTTTTAAAGAACAAAACAATTGTATGAACTTCTGCTCTGGATATTATTGTAGATTTAATGCTAAATTTAAAAAAAAGATATAACTATTAACCGTAATTACCTAAATTATTGCGTACAATTTAACAATAACAGTCAATCAATCGAGCTTAAGCCCAAATATAGTAGTAATAATGCTGTAACAATGACTACGAAACATAGCAATGGAACGGTATATAACCCAAATTTGTTTTACAGGCTTTGCTCTTTTATTCGCCATTTAAAGAAATAAATAAATTTTGACTGGCCTGTGTTCCCGAGAGAGCTTGTTTCGCCACTAACGTTTTGTGTGCTGTCCTGTCTTCCCATGCATAGATCTCGACCTAGTCATTTCAGAAAGAAAACATGTAAATTTTTCATAAGGTTTTAAAGCCTAACTAACTTTCACACTTGGGAATTAGCCGACGACCTCTTTATTTCTGAATAGTTGATCTACATTTATTTGTCTTTTAAAAACCGGAAACAAAGAGTTTAAGAATCCCTGAATCGAGTAAAAACATAAATATCCCAACATGTGACTATATTTGCTAGAGGCGTAGCTAGAGTGTTTGGCGCCCGGTGACAAGATTCATTTTAAAGCGCCCTTATTTTTTCCTTTTCTAACTATCAAAAACCTATTATTTTAATCAATAAAATAATTATCAAAGCACATTTTGGCGCCCCTAACTAGCTGGCCCCAGGGGACATTTGTCCCCTCTGCCCCCTTCGCAACGCCTCTGATATTTGCGTCCTACTAAAGATATAGATCGCTGCAATTATCCTTAACCAGGGCCCGTGTACTTTTGGATGAGGTCATTGGATCTGTGCTGGCAATTTATTTTCTTCCAATGGGGGTAATTAAATATATTGGAGAAGGGACTCGATGTTAGCATCTCAGTCCGGGTTCGATCGTCAGCAGGGTTCCGATCGGGTTCGGTTACCATTAGGTCTTGGGCTCGCCAACCACTGCAGTTTGACATTTCAGTCATTTGAAATTAATTTGGTTGTAATTCAAATAAAATAAATATATGAAAGATAAATAATTTAATAAAAATAATCAAACGTATATTTTTTTTTAAATCCTGATTTATTTTTTTATGTTTATCGAAAGGACGATTTGAAACGTTTTATAATTAAACATCAATCCTTACAAAGGCGCACACTGACACAACAATATTCTATCACGTCTTTCCTCACGCTTGACCTACTGCGGCGCATAGGGGTTTGTTAATTGTCTATCTGGTGGGCAGTGGTGTTGCTAGGGTTAGTGCCGCCTGATAAGGATTTTTCCGCCCCATCAACCATAAAACCTCAGCAGTTGGACAAGAAGACGGCACACTATGAAACGAAAAAGTGCCGCTTGGGGTGCGGAGCTCCACCCCCCCCCCCAAACACACACTTTTCCAACGTCACTGATTGTGGCATCGTCATTTCACTTTTTTTTTGTTTTGTCCCCTCTCCGCCCACGCCTATTTGGAATCATCTAGCTCAGCTAGTTGGTGTCGGATGTCAACAGTTTGTTTGACTGATACATAAAAGTGCCTACCGGAATTTAATTTTATTTGGTTTGAGCGAATTTCCGGCATTTTATGAAAACGAGTCCACCACATAGTGGTGTTATTTATATTGTGGCACGAGTACAGAATCAAGCATATGCGGTGTTGTCGGGGGGGGGACAGTTGTGTTAGAGATGATTTTAAAAATAATGATGATTTAGTCGACCCAAACAAAAATTTTGCAAAAATTTTTTTTTTTTTATTATAAGCATTTCTGACTAACTAGTGATGTACTATGTACTTCCAGCCTCTGGGTGCAGTGATCAAGCAGTTTGAAATGCTACATCACATGTTGGTGGATGATACCCGACTTCAGCAATCCGCGATCCCCTCTCAGCTATCAGCTTCTTAGAACGACACAGGAGACAGTGGAGTCAGTTAAGCACTGGATGAATTTTAACAAGTTAAATTGAACGATATAAAGACCAAGCTGATCCCCATTGCTACCGCTCAGAAGCTATAATCTGTAAATATCATACCATCCCTTATCCTCCCAGGTATACCAATTGAGTTTGCTGAAACAGTTTGAAACCTGGGTGTCTACTTAGAACACATACTATGGAAAATCACATTAACATGCTTTGCAAAGGCGATTTTTCTAGAGCTGCGCAGAATTAGTCCCATCAGACCTTCCTTAACGTTTGATGCAACAAAGAGGCCGATGTCTGCATTCGTGCTATCACGCATGGACTACTGCAATTCTTTCATGGTGGGTCTTCCAGCTACGCTCCTTGATAAAATTAAAAAAAAAACACAGAATAATGCGGCTCGCATCGTTCTTCGCAAACGGAAATTTGACTATGCTAACAAAATTTTAGAGAGTTGCATTTGCTGCCGGTCCGCACTCACATAGAGAACACAATTGCAACTCTGTGCTACCGCTGCTCGCATGACCTGGCACCGTCCTATCTCAAAGCACTCAAGACGACTTATGTACGCACTAGAAAACTCCGCTCATCCGATAGTGGCAAACTCTCATTACCACGTGTTCGCCTTGAGACTTACGGAAGGTGCACTTTCGCGTTTTCTGGCCCAACAATTTGGAACACACTTCCTGTCGCTCTCAGAAACAGCAAGACACTGGAGTCTTTTAATAACGATTTGACAACATATCTATTTCGCAAACACCTGCTGGGGTGATGCTTTCTACCATCTTTTTCAGCTAGCTATTATCTTCTATTTGGTTGACTTTGTACCGCGCTTCGAGCCTTTGGGGATGAAGTGGGATTTTCAAATAAACTTTATTATTATGCGCCACATTTCTGACGTCAGTAGTGATGTGTCACATTTCAACTTAAGTAGTGATGTGCCACATTAATAAACAGAAACTCACCATGCCATGCTTGTACTTTCCTGGAGCTCCAGCAGCTACACATAGCACAGTGGTGTTACAGAACTTTCCAAGCTTTACTGAATAGCCTGCGTAACAAACATCATAATACTTATTAGTAGGGCTCAGTTGGATGCAATGACTTCAGCACGCTATTGTGAGAAGTACAAGGTGGGCCCGGGTGTTCAACAAAAAAGAGTTATCTTTTCATGTTCTTAAATTTTCAACCAACCAGAAGTGATTACCAAGGCATTAAATTTGAAGGCTTCATAACACCAATAGTTTAATAATATAAAACATAATCCTAGCCCAGCGGTTCACAGCATTTTAGCGCCGTGGCCCTTTAGAACAAGATTGAGGTGATTCACAAACAAAAGTATACCTTTAAATTGAGAAACGGGTGTTGAGAAGGGGGGAGGGGGGCATTCTTCTTTTGTTTTTTAGATATAAAGTTGTAGGTATTTTGGTCTAGGGGGGAATCAGAAATAAGGGCAAAGAAGGGTGGATAGTTGTGTAAAGGTGATTGATGTATAACTTTTTCTTTTACTAAGTAAATAACTTTTGAATAGTTTAAGTATCAGTCACTTTTCTACAGTAATCTAAGTAAAACAGTTGTTTTTAAAAAGCCCAATGTTCCTGCACTATTTTAACAGCTTAAACTGTCACACACAAGTGCAAACATCTAATTAAAGAATCATTTTCTTTTTATCCATATGTCATTCAGACAACTTGATTTGTTTGTCCTTGTTTCTTTAAAACATTTTTCTTATAAGAGTGTAAGACCTAAATTAATTTTCATATCCGTAGAGAAATCTCAATCATCTTTCATAAATGAACTTTTGGACTGCAACTCACCCAGGTAGCTATAGGCTGTAGTGTGCAATCTGTCCTCTAACGTGTAATGTATAGTTGCCGAGCGTTGGTTGGCTTGGTCTATCAGTTGAAGATTTCCTAGAATTAAGAACAAAAGCAGAACTGAAAGTCCAGAATCTTGAACGCGTACCTGGGTTTGTCAAAAATGCATAGGTTCGGATCCCACGTGACCATAGAAATTTGGAAATAGATCTCTCCAGGGAGGGAAAAGTATTTATAGTTGATAAATAGTAAGTGAACTTAATGGTGGCAGTGTTTGAAAACATGTGGGAATACATTTCAGATATAGATTTTTTTTAAAAATACGGCGCAAGGAAGATTGTTCTGGCAAAATACTATGTCATCAGAACTGAAAATGTGATCGACCAGTAAGTTAATGTGACTTTCTTCGAAGAATCACGTTTTCCAATAATAACTGAATCCTCGTTCACCGTAGCCTGGAAATTCCAAAATACATCATTCTATTTTACAGATATGTCGCAAGATTGCATTACATTCAAGTTCACAGATCTGTCTCTAGATAACAATACATCATTCTAGCTCATAGATTTGTCTATAGATTACAATGCATCATTCTAGCTCAATAATAATGTCTCCGTCTAGCGTTGTCCAACCAGTATGCGGTATGAATATTTATATATTTTCTTAAACAGTTGGCTAACGTCAGTTGGCAAAAGTTTGGTTTCAAAGATGTCATCATAGATTTTTTTTTGGGGTTGAACACAGCATCTTCTGGAGAATCGGGTGTGACTCTCCTTATCGAAAAATTGCATGGTGGACCAGGCTTCCTCTTCCGTCGAAACAAAACACAGCATCTTCTGGAGAATCGGGTGTGACTCTCCTTATCGAAAAATTGCATGGTGGACCAGGCTTCCTCTTCCGTCGAAACAAAACACAGCATCTTCTGGAGAATCGGGTGTGACTCTCCTTATCGAAAAATTGCATGGTGGACCAGGCTTCCTCTTCCGTCGAAACAAAACACAGCATCTTCTGGAGAATCGGGTGTGACTCTCCTTATCGAAAAATTGCATGGTGGACCAGGCTTCCTCTTCCGTCGAAACAAAACACAGCATCTTCTGTAGAATCGGGTGTGACTCTCCTTATCGAAAAATTGCATGGTGGACCAGGCTTCCTCTTCCGTCGAAACAAAACACTTCCTTAATCTAGAAAATTTCTTTTAAAAAAAGACACCATTACTGTATTAATGGGCGTTGTCTTATTAAATCTCTCCTTGGAATAATCATGCCACCTTTTTTCAAGCATTGATTTCACAATCCATCACGATTCATCAATCACATTACTTACCAAGCGTAAGTATTGGTCAACTGTTAATAATTTTTTCCTGTGTCGAGAGAAATATTACCAACAACCACTGCCCGACATATCTTCCTTTTCACGACCGAGAGCACGTAGCAGCTGGAGCTAACAAACGCAGGGCGCCTTCAAGATGCGGGGAATTTAATGCCAATACGCTTGGCTCATGCCTTTCATCATTAATTCCCAAGTCAGTTTTGCTACATAAGTTACGGAGATTATCGAAATAAGAAACAGGCCTTAAAAGTCAGTTTACACGCTGCGTAACATAAAGAATGTCATTCTGTAACATTTAGATGCTCATACTGAAACATTAAGGAGCTATTCAGCAAAGAATTTCTAAAACTATATCAATGTGCCTTTCTGTAAGTCTACTGTGTGCAACTTTGACCTTATAAATTTTACATGTGCTAAACTTTTCATTTACAAACGTTATTGTTCAAGCCATTAATAACAAACAACTATTAAAACTCTAGATAGTAAATGTTTTACCTTCGCCGACTAATACCCCAGGGGTTCCAATGGCGTAAACAAAAGACTGAAAATTAAATTTATAAATTGTAAATATATTTTTTTTTAAACAACAAATAGTATCATAGTTTTAAGAAACACAAAATATTTATTTCTAAAATATGAAACAATTTCCACAATTAGCAAGGAGTGAGTGAGACGTTGGCTTCAACTTTCCAACAGAGCCTGTATGACACTTTTTCCCCGTGCGTGAACATTGCTTGACCCCAAATTAGATTCCTAGAACACGCTACGTTCATAGATGGCGCGGCCTATTCGTTTGATATGTAGTGTTTACTACCAACTACCAATTAAACATGGTTAGTCTGTCTCCTAGTACCTGGTCAAAGGTTCTCGATTTGCCGAGAAACGTAAATAAATGCTGAGTAGTTTCTGTGTTGTGAGCTAGTTTTTGCGAATGTTGGGTAGGGGGAGTCGTGAATCGTGAGAGTGTTTTGTGAGTTGTTGATCGCGAGGTCAGAGCGTGAAGTTAGTCCGTGGTGTGGAACGTTTGCGTAGGCTGAGTTGTTTGTGTGGTAATATAAAAGGGATGTGTGTTAGCTAGAGGTCAGACAGAGGGAAGAAAGTCGGACAGAGAGAGTCAGGGAAGAAAGGTAGAGCAAAAGAATTGTTAGTCGTCAGAGTTGTCAGTTAAGAGTTAGTCAGTAGAGATATGAGCGAGTGGATAATTGGTATTTGGACTGATGTGTATCCTGCTTTGTAAAGAATTTAAATATTATATATATTGTTCACGGGAGCTTGTATTCTATGTGAGAGGAAGTATCAAACTAACGTCGTAGCATTTCAAGTATAACTAAGGTCGTAACATTCTGGAAGGCAGGGCTTACGCTGCATATATAAAGGGATTGACAGACACAGAGAGAGAGAGAGAGAGATTCAGATTGATATTATTAACTTTACGAGACAATTGTATTATTCTTTGTGTGCTCATATGTGTTTACTCGCATTCATCATGCATCATTATTAATTGGCACATTGTACTAATTGTGTACCAGAACAAGATTTTCACATACTCTGTAATTAATTGTAATTGGTACTGTTTTGGGTGTCGTATTTATTGATTGTATTTCTCTATGGGATCGGCCTTTGTTAGGCACTGTTTGAACGAGCCATAAAATTAAAATAGGAGATTAATTTCTCACAATAGAAGGCAGTGCGTAACAGCCTGCAAGCCCAGGAAGAAGCCAAACTATGCCTGCAAGCCCAGAATCAGGAAATTAGTAAAACAAAGTAAAGTCAAACCTGAAAATGGAACGAAACAAAACAACGAACGTATCAGCAGGAAGCATTCGTTGGCGAAAAAATAGCAGAAAAAAAAGAAAAAAAAAACAGAATACATTTTTTAAAATAACACTCATTTGAGTAGTACTATCCAAAAGGGAAGCAAAAGAATTGTGACAGAAAATAGGTAAGTGCGAGATGAAATACAAGGGAAAGAAAAGAAAAGAATTTGGTCCACTGCGATTGGTTGCGACGTGGAGGGGTGGGGCAAAGGCTTAAGCTGTGAATAAAGACATGATGTTCAACCCGTATGGTGTCAAGGTACCATAGGTTTGGATAAGCTTGCTTTCCAAATTCTCCCGGGTCAATGTGTTTGTGTTAGTCACTATCATAATAATTGTAAATTCCACCGTGCCACTGTGGTCGATTCTATTGAAGCGTTTAGAGACTGGACACTCTTTATCTTGCGTAATATTCATAAATTTTCAGTACAACCGTCAGAGATTCGGCGTCCTATCTACACTATGTGCGACATCCTACAGCATGTTCAAACAAAGGCGATGACACCATTGCGGCTAATACAAAGGACACCATCCCGCGTCTGAAAACTGCCCTTAGGGAAGCGTATGTGTTGAGTCTCGACGACAAAAGGGCAAGTGTTGAAACGGCTGCGTCCACATGGCTTGGTCCCAAAGTGGGAGGAAGAAGCGTTGATGCGACTGCGCACAAGGAGGTCTCTCGCATTTTTATCAAGTCTGAAAAACAATGAGAGGCTGGGAAGAGAAAATGTGACGTGTGTCAGTGTCGGTGAGGTGTACGTCACGTTTTTAAAGAAAAAACATGTTTGGCTATTAGATTGTGAGGGTGATAGCGAGCATAATGGTTGTAGCTGTCAACATTGTGACTTGGACGTGACCTAGAAAAAGCAGCGCTTTTAATATTCTGAACCCTTTGAAGGACTGATGAAGGTACTGTCACCTGATAGGACCTACATCAGAAATAGTCAATCCTCTCAAGTGCTTTGTCCCAAAAGTCGTCCTCCGCCCGACAAAGTCGACGAAGACGAAGTAATTGAGGAAAAGTAATAGAGTCTTTACAGGATTTAGTGTTGGAAGCAGAGTAGAGTAGATGGCAGTGGCTGTCATCATGTTTAAATTGAGTGAGGAGAGTAGGCTGTCTTTCTGAAGGTTGCCTTTAGCGTCCAAAAAGTTGACTGAGGTCTTATAAACAAGAGATTTGAATTTAATAGAGGGGGAAAGGAGCCAACAAATTTGATGTAAAGGTCAAGTTCACTCATCTCCAATGTGGTGACCTCAATACCGTCATCAATGTATCTCTAAAAGAATTCAGGGAGGCGTCCAGTGCAGTTTGCTTTCGAAAATATGTTTGAAATGTCTCATGAACAAGCATGCATAGCTGGGTCCAATTTTAGTCCCCAGAATCAGGTCGGAAAGAGCCTGCAAGCACAGAATCAAAGCGGGTGCAGACCATGGCACACATAAAACTCAACACACAATCATCGTCCTAATTGTTCTGTCTTTTCTTTTTAAAACCTAAACAAATCCCGTTTTAATTTTTTTAAATTTAAATCTTTCCAATCCGGATACATCTTTGTTTTTGCTTTCAACCCTATGGGAATAATAATAATTTAAAAAATAAAAAAAAACAAGTTATAACCCGCCAAACATTGTGTTCAGAAAGGCATGAACTTCCCATCTAGTAAAGTTAATTGACAAAACATGAACTCAAGTAACCCACATTTAAGAATCCCAATTTTCGCCTTACCTCTTCCTCGATGATGCGTCACTGCACACGTTTAATTTCACGCCCATGAACTATATTAAATATTCTCATGTCCCAACCACTTTTAAAACGAATATTTTTTTTTTAACACCATACTTAAATTGAGACCATTTAATTTTTTGCGAAAATAAAATATTACACACCAAACGCAGTTGCGTTATTAAAAAAATCCTTTAGCGCGTTATCAGGAATTATATTTTGCGCATATTGAACTCATTATTGAACCTTACTTTCTTTCAAACATTTAGGATTATTTGTAATTTACTATCAATACCAAATTCGCCGATTAGGAAGTAGTTTATTAGGAAGTAGTCTGTTAGGAAGTAGTCTGTTAGGAAGTAGTCTATTAGGAAGTATTCTATTAAGAAGCAGTCAACGAGTCGAACCAGAAGTGTAATATATACAAAGATAATACAAACATTTAAAAAAAATTAAAATCCAACAAGTTATTTTTTGTAATGATGTAGAGAAGACCTAATGTAAAGGAAGCAAACACAATTTTAAAAACTTCCAAATGTAATGATAAGGACCGTCCATAAATAAGGTCACGATCTGGAAAAGGAGTGGGGGGTGTCTAAGAAATTGTGACAGGGTGCGACCTGGGGGGGGGGTTAAGATCAAATGTGACGTTACACTTTCAACATATTTTTTTATCCTACACATAACACATGACATTGTTAGTGATGTTAGCATTCTGTAGTGATGAATGTATACCGAAAGAACATGTCAAGTTTATAAAGTATACGGTTAAATAAGGAAGTTGCTATTAGATGAAATTATAATAGTTGTTACGTTTTTGAAAGTTTTTAGTACTAAACTTTGACATACTTCCAAAAAAAAAAAAAAAAGTTTCCGGGATTTGAGACAGGTGTTGACAGTTGGAGATGGGATTTGAGACAGGTTGTGACAGTTGGAGATGGGAGAAAAAAAATGTAAAGTTTATAAAGTATACGGTTAAATAAGGAAGTTGTTATTAGATGAAATTATAATAGTTGTTACGTTTTTGAAAGTTTTTAGTAATAAACTTTGACATACTTCCAAAAAAAAAAAAAAAAAGTTTCCGGGATTTGAGACAGGTGTTGACAGTTGGAGATGGGATTTGAGACAGGTTGTGACAGTTGGAGATGGGATTTGAGACAGGTTGTGACAGTTGGAGATGGGATTTGAGACATGTTGTGACAGATGGAGATGGGGTAAACATTGCCGATAACAACTTGACATACTTTATGGACGTTGCTGTAACCTATATGTATCATATATGTGTACATGCCGTCAAGTCATCATTAGTTTTTAATACCCCGACGATCACATACCCCATCTGTGTCTCCAGACATGCCGTATGCCGCCAAGCCATTACGCATTGTAACCTGCCCAGCAATCCTGGATGTGTAGAAATTGCTTGACGAAAATTCCGTCCATTCTTTGATGTCTCCCTATGATATCAATATAACAGCAAGATATTGGTTACAATAAAATAATATCATCTGGGGATGCGAATCAATCTTATGGATTATCAGGAATGATCGATTTTAATGTTTTATTGTGTACAAAGTTATTTTTGTTCAAAGTTTGGATGATGTTAGTGTTGTTGTTTTTTTAAACAAAAATTATTGGTTACGATGGAAAGAAGGGGATTTGTATTAGAGAGGTTTTCAGTGTGGAAAAAAAATATTATCTTCTTTTCATCCATTAGTTCAGGAAAGCATGTTTAGAAAACCGAGTTTTCCTTATATGCAAATGTCCAAATTTTGTTATATTGTCTTCGAGGGCAAACATTTCGAACGCAATACGCTCACAAGGACGATGGATATAATGTTCATGGATTGTGAATCTTTCAGAGTAGGATTAAACGCCATAGGATATGTAAGAATAAATGGTTGAGTATACAATAGCTGATGTGTTTTTGCTTTTCGTTCTTTTAAAAAAAAATGTGTTTCCATCCAGATCCACACCTGCTAACAATAACTGACCAATACACGACTCACCGAGTCAAGAAGTCTAGATGCACACCTGCCTAACATGAAGGTGACATTTCTTAATTCTGTTTTCCAATGCGGACTGCAAACCTGTGGAATTGATACAATTTGGAAAATTCAACAGCATGTAGCACATTCGAGTAATGCAATAGTCAATCAGATGCACGGGGGGGGGGGTGTAAGAAGGCCAGGCTCGATGTCACAGCCAGTGTGTCCACATTGGCTTGCGTCAACCAATACTCCTTTAAAGGAGTGTATGCAACAAGTTAACTACCATGAGCCGGTGGGGGCGGCGAGGCGTTTCATTCCGTTATGGCCACGAGCCGTTGGTAGCGCCAATGTTTGTATCGTATTAAATCGAGTCGAATATTCATATTATTCCGTTCCCGTTTTGCTTCGAAATTTTTATTTACCGATATGATGCTTATGTTCGAAGCGCATGCAAACGGCAGAATGTTTTTTAAAAAAAAACGAGCTGTTCATTAATTGTGTTTTAATATCCGAGCTAGTTACAAAATTGTACTTCTTGTTTACCTTGGCAACAAGTGACAGGATTACTATAACATAGTATATAACATAGCCAAGTGATTGGAAGTGTAAATGTTATTCAATATCTGTGTTCTTTGGTGCATTGTTCTTATTATTGGCAATATACTATCTGGAAACCAACAAATTAAAGGCTTTAAATGGTTTGGAAATGTAAAATGTATACGTAAGTTGACACATTTATACATTTTTGTCATTGCTTTTCAATTGCAAATACTAATTTAATAATTAAGAATTTCCTAACAAAACTAAACTTTACAAAAATTTTATGTTTAACATATTGAAGATTCAATTAACTACAAAATAGTTTCTCAATCATTAGAACATGTTTATAATTATGAAGACTGCAGCTGAATTTGCACATACACCCAGAATGAGAAAATGTGACCAAGATTTAATTCGGCCAAAACGGGTTTTTCAATCTGGTAGTTAATCAGTTACCATGATGTCATAAGGTACATACCATGATGTCATAAGGTACATACCATGATGTCATAAGGTACATACCATGATGTTCCAATTAGCACATACCATGATGTTCCAATAAGAACATACCATGATGTTCCAATAAGCACATACCAATGATGTTCCAATAAGCACATACCAATGATGTTCCAATAAGCACATACCAATGATGTTCCAAAAAGCACCATACCATGATGTTCCAATAAGCACATACCAATGATGTTCCAATAAGCACATACCAATGATGTTCCAATAAGCACATACCATGATGTTCCAATAAGCACATACCATGATGTTCAAATAAGAACATACCATGATGTTCCAATAAGCACATACCAATGATGTTCCAATAAGCACATACCAATGATGTTCCAATAAGCAAATACCAATGATGTTCCAATAAGCACATACCATGATGTTTCAATAAGCACATACCATGATGTTCCAAAAAGCACATATCATGATGTTCCAATAAGCACATACCATGATGTTCCAATTAGCACATACCAATGATGTTCCAATAAGCAAATACCATGATGTTCCAATTAGCACATACCATGATGTGACTAGTAGCACTTAAGCCACCCTGACCTCATTCGATACTACATAACACGATTTCGCAAGCATTTACATATCATAATATCATAAGTTATGACATATCAACTATCTTAAGTTAGTACATAGCATGATATCGTAAGTTATGACATATCAACTGTCATAAGTTAGAACATAACATGATATCGTAAGTTATGACATATCAACTGTCATAAGTTAGTACCTAACATAATATCATAAGTTATGACATATCAACTATCGTAAGTTAGTACATAACATGATATCGTAAGTTATGACATATCAACTGTCATAAGCTAGAACATAACATGATATCGTAAGTTATGACATATCAACTGTCATAAGTTAGTACATAACATAATATCATAAGTTATGACATATCAACTATCTTAAGTTAGTACATAACATGATATCGTAAGTTATGACATATCAACTGTCATAAGTTAGAACATAACATGATATCGTAAGTTATGACATATCAACTGTCATAAGTTAGTACATACCATGATATCATAAGTTAGCACATACCAGGATAATCATAAGTTAGTACATACCGTAACATCAATAGTTAGTGCATACCGTGACATCATAAGCTATTACATACCGTGACATCGCAAGTTAGTACTTACCGTGATATTTCCAGAGTCAGAGACAAGTATAGTACTACCAAAGCCTTCGCCTTTAGTACCTTTCCGAATGACTGTTGATATAAAACATGATACAAATGAATACATGAACTAAGAGGACAATGCTTTCTCTGTCTGCCTTGTTGTATAATCCAGATTTTAAAATGACATCAATATGGACTGAAGTATGAGAGGAAGGTTTAATGGCGGTAGGTCGAGTTGTAAAAGTGGTTTCAAAAGATGTTATGAAAAAAAAACTGCCAGGAGTGTGAGATAAAACTGTCATGAGAGTGAGATAAAACTGTCATGAGAGTGAGATAAATCTGTCATAAGTGTGAGATAAGGATGTCATTAGTGTAAGGTAAAAAATGTCACAAGTGTGAGAAAAACTGTCATGAGTGTGAGATAAATCTGTCATGAGTTTGAGATAAATCTGTCATGAGTGTGAGATAAAACTGTCATGAGTGTGAGATAAATCTGTCATGAGTGTGAGATAAAATGTCATGAGTGTGAGATAAATCTGTCATGAGTGTGAGATAAATCTGTCATGAGTGTGAGATAAATCTGTCATGAGTGTGAGATTAAAACTGTCATGAGTGTGAGATAAATCTGTCATGAGTGTGAGATAAAACTGTCATGAGTTTGAGATAAATCTGTCATGAGTGTGAGATAAATCTGTCATGAGTGTGAGATAAAACTGTCATGAGTGTGAGATAAAGATGCCATGACTGTGGGATAAAACTGTCATGAGTGTGAGATACAAATGTCATGAGTGTGAGATAAATATGTCATAAGTGTGAGAAAAACTGTCATGAATGTGTGATAAAGATGTCGTGAGTGTGAGATAAAAATGTCAATTATAATTTAACAGATAACGAGTTGTTGATTATGACAAAGATATTTTCGAATAATTTTTCTACAAGCTAAACAAATTGAAGAGAAATAATTTTTAAAAATATGTTTGAAGTACGTATGCCGTCTAATACATCAGTACAATTGTTAGACGTCTCGCCAATGCTTCGCGAATCTGACAATAACGCATAATGCGCATTGGTACCAGGTAGCTGACGGGTGATAATAATCGGTTTCTCTGTGGTTGTTGGTTATTGTAAAAGCCAAAATTAGCCTACTTGTTACTGCAAGTGTTTATTGTGCATTAGATGTCAACACGTTGGCATATGACAGAAAAGTGGTCTAATTGTTATTGGCAGTGTTTATTGTGCACTAGGTGTCAACAAGTTGGCATATGACAGAACAGTTCTCTAATTGTTACTGCAAGTGTTTACTGTGCGATAGGTGTCAACGCGTTGGCATATGACAGAAGAGTTCTCTAATTGTTACTGCAAGTGTTTACTGTGCGATAGATGTCAACATGTTGACATATGACAGAACAGTGGTGTAAGTGTTATTGAAAGTGTTTATTGTTCGAAAGAGGTCAACGAGTTTGTAGGAGGCAGTCTCCCATAATTTTGACCCACTGTACTTATAAAAAGTTTCAATGCAAAGAGATTACGTAAAGAGTGAAATAGATCCCCCCTCCCCCAACAAAAAAAGTTCCTTGGGGTGCAAACAGCCCTCTCCGCCCCTTCCACTCCCAAAGCCAAATATGGAGCAGTCTTATTAAATATTATGTTGATCTGGCATGGCTCTGAGTAACACCTTGGAGAGCACTGGAAATAGGGTTCAGATGGGTTGGAGGGGGGGGGACTTACAAAAGACCCCCACCCCCCAAAAATCATCTGAATAAATGTGTATTCATTTCTTAGTAATAACAAAATGTAGAGGAACACCAATCCAGCAGGGCTGGAGCCTTGATTATAGGCTCATTTGCAATTTTTCAATTGGGTGTTCACCCTAAAATGGTGTCACCTGGTGTGGTCCGAACCCCCCCCCCCCCTTCCTCGCTACGCCACTGCATTCAGCTATAATACAGTAGTTGTAAATACTACTCGATTAAAAAAAATATATTATTATTTATTAAGTCTTTGATATTAATTTTAAATAACAAAATGTAGAGGAACCCCAATCCAGCAGGGCTGGAGCCTTGATTATAGGCTCATTTGCAATTTTTCAATTGGGTGTTCACCCTAAAATGGTGTCACCTGGTGTGGTCCGAACCCCCCCCCCCTTCCTCGCTACGCCACTGCATTCAGCTATAATACAGTAGTTGTAAATACTACTCGATTAAAAAAAATATATTATTATTTATTAAGTCTTTGATATTAATTTTATTTAACTACGTTTTTGCTCGTGGGTGACTGACTGGCTGGGTTGCAAAATCTTATGACGGCTAATTGACCCACTACCTGTCAACCTATCAAGCTGAAACTTGGCAGATGGACTCGAGGCCTATGATAACACAGTCTTTCAAATTCCCAGCCCCTTCCCCCAGCCACCCCATGATTCGCTAGTACATTTGATAAAAGAGTTAGACGAGAAACTCTGTGTTTTTAGAGGTTGTTTAATTGGTTGATTTTTTTTTTTTAGTCAATTTCCCTCAAAACAATAGTTGTTTTTTCCTGAAAAAGTTTGTGTTTTTAACATTTCGAACATTTATATGTGTGTTGTATAAAGGGTAAAAAAAATGATATTAATTTGACCACGATTTAAAATAAGTTATTTCCATTGACCGTAGATTTTGTCCACAAAATAAAACCTATGAACTGATGTCTAATTTTTAACCAAAAAACAACAAACAAAAAACAACACCAAAAAACAACAAATTTTCAGAAAGAAAGGTTCGAGCTGTGTCAGTGTGTTCGTGTGTGTCGGCATGTCTAGTTTTTGAGTGACCTGTGTGCCTGTCCGTGTATCGGCTGAGGAAATAACCGGCCGATTGGAGGGATCCCACAAAGACTGTAGGGCTTTGGAGATATTATTATTATTTGTTTGTTGTTTTTTTTTTAATTTCCCTAATACAAATAAGTGACGGGCTGAACTACTGGATGGCTGTAGCATACTAGAACTGAGTAATGGATCAAATATCTATATTCATTTGAGAACCCTTTGGTCCAGTTCCCCATGGCCCCACTTACCACTGCTCTTGGCAAACACTCCAACGTCTGTACAGTTGATGTTATCCCCAAGCACATCAGTACATTTGTACAGTGATCCGGACTGCTCACCACCGATTGAAGTATTCTGTTTGGGGGCTCCAACGAGTAGGCTAAACGAAGAGTGGGCCAAGGGGGGTGTGGGGGTGGGGGGTATTCCAACGGGTAAACGGATATACATTGTTGTAAGTGCATCTAGATTGAATTTCCTTGATAAACTAATGTTGTATTGTTTGCTTTACTATTAAAATTGTTAATTGTTTTTAAACACGAAAATAAAATGTACACTTGCTTCTATAAATAGTTGGCCTTTCTTTACATGAAGCCAGCGTTATTGAATCATTTCGATCTCTTCACTGAGAATGTTTGGTAGTACGAAATAACAACACCATTTTTACATACAGGATTTATTCTAACCTTGCATTGTAAAATAATAAAGAAATTATTCTAGTTAAATAAGCAACTCAGTATTTATTTTTATTAAATATATATATATAAAGTCTTGGTTATTGGTTTACGCATTTATGCATTAACTGATAGATTGCATCCTGGTCTGTCATTAATTATAATTAGGCATAGTCCAGATGAGAGTCCATACATAGCGCAGCAAAGGCGTCTCACAACACTAAAGTTGTCTCCGACATCAGATATTTATAATATCAAGCAAATGCTTGGTATCAATGCATCTGTATATATATTTCTCCAGAGGAGTAGCTAGAGTTTTTGTAGCTCAGGGACACGATTCATTTTGATGACCCCCCTTTCCACTCTGAAACCCCTATTTACAGGCTATATCAATACAATACAATCATAGCCCATTTTGACCCCATTTCTAGCCTTGCGCTCGGACACATCTTTCCCCCAGCCACCTCTGCCCCCCCACTTAGCTACGCCTCTCCACCTCACGCCAGACAATCTCTAGGTGCCACACCCAGACTCACCTTTAACCTTTTATCATAATCTAACCGGGATAAGCTTGATTTTCCCAAGCATTTTATACGTTAGTTTCATAACTTTAAAAAAAAAAAAAATTACCTCTCTTAGCATTATTATCAGCTTTTAATCCCATTCCTTATAGGAGAAGTTAAATTGACAATGTTAAATTTTTTTTTTACCATTTACTAATTAAAACAGTTTTTTTTTTAAATTATGGACATATTGAATTTCGAAATTACGTATGACGCCAAATAAACATATCATAAACATATCACCATCGGAGCTCTAAATAATGCAAGCGCTTATAGAAAGGTGCATTGCACATTTCTAAAATTTTCATTTATCTTCATTTTAAAGAATATTTACAACAACAAAAAAAGGCCTTTACGCTTATACAGCAGCTGAGAAATGTAGACGCGACCTGCCCTACTTTCGTGACGCACTTATCGCTGAACACGAACATGCACCTTAAGAGACGGCAGAGCGAAGAAACCCACTTACTCCAGTGTTTTAGAGTTGGACTTGGTCGGCAGGAAAGCAAGGCTAAATCCGAAATGTGTCCCCTTTGGTCCACTGTGGTATCGGATGTTTCTTGTGTTGATATTGAATCCAGTCGTCCGTGCGGCAACACAGGTTAAAATTAGCAGCTTACAGTAGAGTGCCACCATGACTGATTTAGACTTTTTACACAAACTCGCGAGGATCACAAAATAAAACACTTACGGTTTTTATGGTCACGCTTATTTTATTTCTACACTAATTCGGACGTAACAAAAGATCAAGTGAAAATCATTTACCACAACGTGGTATTATTAAAAACACTGTACACTCAAAAACTTTCTCAATTGTTGTCTGTGTGGCTCGTGTGTTTTTACATCCCATTTCCGCGATGAACTACAACTACTCACTGCTTAACGCCACGCCTGCTGGCAGTACATGACACATTGGAATGTGCTCAGTGGCGGGGAGAGAATTTCATGGAAAACTAACCCCCACGCGTTGTCTTCTTCCGGTCAAAGTTTTTGTTGTTATTTTTTTTTACATTGTTTGTTTCATTGTATTAGAGCTGTTTCCAAATGCAACGACCTTTTAATACAGCTCCTCATTTTGTGGTGACCGTAATTATATATATTTTTTTTAAATATTTTTTTTGCGACTTCATAAATATGTGTTTTTGATGGTCTTCGGCGACCCATGTGAAAGGATCGTTCGACCGCCAAAGGGGTCGTGACCATCAGGTTGAGAACCGCTGTATTAAAAGCATGACCATATCGTCAAGGGTCAGAATCTTTCTTTCGTCTTTTGACATCGTGTAGTGTCTTACTCAATGAGACAGTCAGAAGCTTGACAGTAAAAAGTTGTAAAAACAGATTCCCAGCGTGGCATAATTACGCATCTTGCAGTCCATAACGTCATATGGAAAAAAAACAACAACTTTTCAAACAGTTTCTTCTTACTCTGAAAAACTGTATAGGAACATGAAGCCATGAAACATCATTGGAGTTTTGACATGGAAACTGGCATACACAAAACAACACAATGTTATCGCATCAAAGGAAAAAAATCCATATCTTCCATTCCAGATTTTTTTTTGGGGGGGGGGGGGGGGGGGGGGGGGGGGGGGGGGGCTGGGGTTGGATCCTTTTCTACGACCATTCAGGGAATAAAAACATTCACTTCATAAATTTTAATTTTATTTTGATGATATTGAGTTTCCCCTTTCCATAATTTTTTTAAAAAATCTCTATTCACGAAAGAGATGAACCAACGCTATGGGGTTCACTCAGATTGAAGGTATCTTAAGGATATCATTAAGTTTCTATTATTCTTTAAAAAAAATAAAAACACAACTTAATTTTTGACTAAATCCTGTATGTTAAGTGTTAATGTTAAAAAGAGGTTAACATCTCAACAGTCGCCCTGTTATCGGCTGGTGTTATTCGGAAGTCCTGAAGAGTGGTGATGTTATCTTAAATTCTTGGTAAGGCAATAGATACTTAGTAAGCACATAACTATTTCGTAACATTTTAATCATATCCCTCGAAGATAAAAGCAAGGGGAAAAAACAACATTGTTAAGACAATAATACTATTTCAGACCCCTCCCCCCCCCACTCCTCCCCACCCTCCCTGTTCTCGCACAAACATCTAAATAATTATCTGAAAACCCGTTAAAAATAAGATTCCGGATGGGATTTCAACGCCGGCCTTAGGTAAACTTTCGCCCTGTGCGAAGCACAAGTTCGGCGCCCCCTTTTCTTTTTCCCTTTATGGCTCCGCTCTTTATCCGATTACGACGTACTTTTTCTGCTTTGCGCGTGCCATTTTGCGCCCCGGAAAGCTTTTTGTTCCCCGAATTCTTTTTGCTGATATCTTTGTAAGAGGGACAAAGAAATGCGGTATTAATAAATTAATCTCCACACCCTTTCGGCTGCTCCCAACCCCAGTGTTTGTGTGCATAAAAAAGAATGCAACGTGCATTGTATAAAAACTCATTGTGTGAGAAGCGATTGTACCAAAAGTCAGAATACCGTTTCTTGATCCCGGACCCGAGGGTCACACTTCTCTATAATAAAATAAGGGATTGTAAATATTTACCGGGCGCCCCGGGTGCCCTTATGGCCACGGCGCCCTGAGCGAGGCACAGGTCGCACACCGTAAAGGCCGGCGTAGATGATTCTCACAGCATCGTACACTCGTGCTTCAGTGTCGCTTACGATTATGTCTCACCCATCTGAGAAGGCGAGCGGTGATCCCAATCTAATCTTATTTTCGACCCACTAACCCTCATTCCAAGATGGATGGCGTAGTTGCGTTTACGTCAATGTTTACAATTTTATGCCGCGCAAAACACCACGCCCACGCACGTTGAAAGGCCACGCCTATGCACGGCAAGAGTCCCACTCGAGACAGACTGTACTCGAAGCTATCGGGCGTTCGCGGACACGGCCCTCGGAGTTCAGACATCCGTGCAGGAGCTCCACCTGGTTAACTTCATCATTGCCGCTTTCAATTTCATTATCTATATTTGATGTGACTGAATTGAAGAATAAGAAATCGAGTTTAGGTACCAAAACCGATTTTTTTTCAATTACGTAACAATCTGGAAATTAAATGCACACCTTGTCTTTAGTTTATAATCTTGTCTTAAACGATATCATTCACACTCCGTTATGTGTGCAATAATAACTTATTAAAAGTATTTATTCTACATATGATTTTATACTAAAAAAATAATTTTCAATTTTAAAGATGACGAAAAGCATTTTCTTCATTGCAAATATAATATCAGAAAAGGAGTTATAAATGTTCATAAAGGTCCTGTTGCAAACTTTAAAAAAAATAACTTCATCACTTATGTTCATTTTCTATGCTTTTCTTGGGTCGAGTTTACCTGATTAGTCATATCCTTGAAAATTTGTCTCAGCCGCGCCTTTAAATACTACAGCCGTGTGTTTTAAAAAAAAATTATAGTCTAATGAGAGAAAAAAAAACTGTACAAATATGCGTGTTTTTTTTTCAGTATCTGATGATCGTAATCTATGACCTATTGTTCGTTTCAAATACTTTTTGCTTCTATTATTAAAAAAAAAACACCACCACAAACAACCAGATCGTTAACTGTATCAGCTGTTCGCAGTCTCAACACGTGATCTCTAACAGGAAAGTAACGAACCATGTGGCTGGCATTTTTTGGGGGGAGTTTAAAAATAGAGTATTGAAGACTAAGATAAAATATCTTATGTGAGTTTCTAAACTGTGAAGTGACTAATTTTGTAATGTAACCCTGCCTGTGCCATCCTCCCATGAATAAGGTGATGACTGCCGAGTAAGACTATGTGGTTATGTATGACACTTTTTCCCCGTGCGTGAACTTTGCTTGACCCTTAGCACACGCTACGTTCATAGGTGGGCGTGGCTTATCTCTTTGATGTATCGTGTTTACTACAGACTTCCAATTAAACATGGTTAGTACGTCTACTAGTATCTTATGGACCGTTCTCGATTGTATTAGAAAAGTAAGGGCGTTTCAAGACGCGTCGGTAGACCCACATATATAAGGGATTGACAGGCACAGAGAGGGACGGAGATTGATAGATATTTTTAACTTCACGAGACGTGTATTATTCTTTGTGTTCTCATATGTGTTTATTCGCATTCTTCATTCATCATTATTAATTGGCACATTGTACTAATTGTGGACCGGTACAAGATTTTTCCCATACTCTGTAAGCTGATGATTTGTAATTATATTTCTTTTGTTTTGTAATTGCATTATTACTAAATAAAATCTGATGAATTTTAATTGATACTGCTTTGGTTGTCGTAACTTTATTATTGTATTTCTCTATGGTATCGTCCTTTGTCGTGCGCTGTGCGAACGAGCCATAACTTAAAACTAGAGATTCATTTCTCACAATAGAAGCCAGTGCGTAACATTATCAAATAAAGACGACGCAATTCAAAATACGAAATACTGACTACGACTACGAGACGATAAAAGTTACTGTTGTGGTGCTATGTTTTTTTGTCGTGGTTAATGTACTAGTCAGATGTTGTATATTTTATTTGTGTATTAGGAGCACAAGGTTAATCAATTGTTGATTTTTTTTTTTAAATTACTGACTTCTTGTTATTTTTTTTATCGCTCTTTTAATTTGGTTTATTTTATTCTTTGCACCAAGTTCTGTTAGCGAGCCATTGTTCACAGTAATACCTGGGAACCCATCACATCACCAGACATGTTTTGTTCACAATCCATTGTTCACAGTAACCCATGGACACCCATCACCACGACAGACATGTTTTGTCAACAAGCCATTGTTCACAGTAACCCATGGGCACCCATCACCACGACAGACATGTTTTGTCAACAAGCCATTGTTCACTGTAACCCATGTACACCCATCACCACGACAGACATGTTTTGTCAACAAGCCATTGTTCACAGTAACCCATGGACACACATCACCACGACAGGCATGTTTTGTCAACAAGCCATTGTTCACTGTAACCCATGGGCACCCATCACAACGCCAGACATGTTTTGTCAACAAGCCCTTGTTCACTGTAACCCAAGGACACCCATCACAACGCCAGACATGTTTTGTCAACAAGCCATTGTTCACTGTAACCCATGGACACCCATCACCACGACAGACATGTTTTGTCAACAAGCCATTGTTCACTGTAACCCATGGGCACCCATCACAACGCCAGACATGTTTTGTCAACAAGCCATTGTTCACTGTAACCCATGGGCACCCATCACAACGCCAGACATGTTTGTCAACAAGCCATTGTTCACTGTAACCCATGGACACCCATCACCACGACAGACATGTTTTGTCAAAAAGCCATGGTTCACTGTAACCCATGGGCACCCATCACCACGATAGACATGTTTTGTCAATAAGCCATTGTTCATTGTAACCAATGGGCACCCATCACAACGCCAGACATGTTTTGTCAACAAGCCATTGTTCACTGTAACCCATGGGCACCCATCACAACGCCAGACATGTTTTGTCAACAAGCCATTGTTCACTGTAACCCATGGACACCCATCACCACGACAGACATGTTTTGTCAACAAGCCATTGTTCACTGTAACCCATGGGCACCCATCACAACGACAGACATGTTTTGTCAACAAGCCATTGTTCACTGTAACCCATGGGCACCCATCACAACGACAGACATTTTTTGTCAATAAGCCATTGTTCACAGTAAGCCATGGGCACCCATCACCACGACAGACATGTTTTGTCAATAAGCCATTGTTCACAGTAACCCATGGCCACCCATCACAACGCCAGACATGTTTTGTCAATAAGCCATTGTTCACAGTAACACCTGGGAACTCATCACTACGCCAGACAAGGGCAAATAATGTGAAGAAGAAAACAACGGGATATCATGTTTTTAACTAATGGTGTCGACAAAAATCTCTTTAAATAA